TGTGCATCTGCCGAACACCAATTAGGATGAGGGTTTCCGCTTCTGCATCTTGAACGTCCCTTCCTTAATACAGATGAGTTGTATGTTTTTACTGCTTGTGTCTCCTTCGCTGTGGAACGAACACAGCCCATCTGTCAACACTGAACTTACTCTGCTACTGAGAAAACCCTGAATAGTTTTTCTCCTCTTTTATCTTGTGAACATCCACAACAAAGACCACCTTTCTCATTGCTCCTATGGAATCAGGTCATATACATACTGAAGGAAGCCGCATGGAAATGGATCCTAGAATCATGGAGTTGGAAGGGACCCCTAAGGCCATCTAGTCCAACCCCATGCTTAAGGCAGGAATCCAGGTCAAAGCAGATCCGGGAGAGAGGGTGGTCCCATTTTCTCTCGAAGGCCTCCAGCGTTGGAGGGCTCACCTCCTCCCATGATCAAGGTTTCCGTTGTTGGTCTACTCTATTAGAACGTTTTTTCCTGATATTTGAATGAAATTTGGCTTTACGTCCTGCACTCCGGGATGATTGGGAACAGATCCTGCCTCTCTTTTGTAGGAGAACTCTTCAAGTTTTTGAAGAGTTCTGTCCTCTCTCTCCTCAGCCTTCTTTTTTCTTCAAGGCTAAACCATGCCCGGATCTTTCCCTCTTTCCTCCTAGGGCTTGGCTTCCAGTCCCCTGACCCTCCGTGTTGCCCTCCTCTGATCTGGTTCTATTTGGCCTGCATCCTTCTTTGCAAAAAAGACCCCCAAGTGCCCTTAATGCAGCAATATTGGAGGTGTGCATTTCACCTTGCAATAAGGCTGCATTTCTGGTGCAAAGCAAGGACCTGAGCATCCGCCCGACTCTGCAGAGCCATGCCTAGCCCTCCATCAAAACTGAGAGAGGACATGTGAGCAGTACGATGCTTGATTCCCCCCGCCTCTTTTTTACATTCTTGATGTACCCTACAGAGGTGTTAGGTGTGAAAAGGTGACTTCCAGCCCCACAAATGTTACCCAGCTATGTTTTAATCATTGGGTGGAAGAGAGAAGTTGGAAGCTCCCTCTGCTACTAAAATTTCCTCTCTTGCATAATCTGGAGGGCTCCAGGAATCCTGTTTTCTTCTGCATTAGCCCATCTCATGTCAGCCTCACCTAATGGTCTCATGATGACACATGATGATGATGATGACTGTAGATGTGGTTTAAACCCCTCCTTTTCCAAACATCTGGGCAAGTTCACAGTGTTCCAAGAAGCCAGGTGAATGTTTTATCACAGCAGGCAAGAAAGCTGAGCTGGGCTCACAATGCGAAGGAAGCGCAGTCAGATGGCTGCTTTTATCTCGGGCCTCTTCAGAAGCTTGTGAAATACAGCATTCATGAAATTATTCATCAATGTTGGATGCTGAAATTAACCATAATTTCCCAATCAGAACAGGCATCTATATTATACAGCTGGGGTTTATCCTGCTGTATTTTTTTTAAAAAAAACCTCATTCATTCATTCATTCATTCATTCATTCATTCATTCATTCATTCATTCATTCATTGTTTTGGATGGTTAAGGGGACTTTGATCAAAGCCTGGCTCAATCTGGTGCCTTAGAGGTTTTCCAATGCATGGAACAAAGATTTGGAAACAGAACCTCCGCATCTGCTAGTTAAGACTGATTGAAGGTCTTATTTACATTCTTATCTGCCAGCCTCCCTGCAGTGTACTGAGTATCTAATGTCTTGTCTGCCCCACATTTTTAGGACCTACAAGAGAAGGAAACTGGCTGGATAGCTGAGTGGTTTAGTTCTCTGGTTGTGGAGCCAGAGGTTGGGAGTTCGATTCCCCCCACTGGGCCTCCTGGGGGAAAAAGCCAGCCTGGGTGACCTTGGGCGAGCTGCACAGTCCAGATAGCTGAGTGGTTTAGTTCCCTGGTTGTGGAGCCAGAGGTTGGGAGTTCGATTCCCCCCACTGGGCCTCCTGGGGGAAAAAGCCAGCCTGGGTGACCTTGGGCGAGCTGCACAGTCCCACAGCGCCCCCAGAGGAAGGGAAGGGTAAAGCACTTCTGAGTATTCTCTACTTGGACAACCCCAAAAAGATTCGCCGTAAATCGGAATTGGCTTAACATGCTTATTAGTGTTATTATTGTAGGAGAAAGGCCGCCGTAAGTCGGAATTGGCTTAACATGATTATTAGTGTTATTATTGTAGGAGAAAGGCTGCTAATGAAGGGGTAGGTTTATTACAGCATGGATAAAGAGACAAGTTCCTTTAAAAGCCATGTGATTTTTACCTATGGCAATCTAAGGGGGAAAAAAGGCTTTAAAAAGAATGTTGGTGAGTTTTTTTACTCTCTCTCCTCGGGGTGGTTTTGAATTCCAAAAGAAAAGGCTTTAAAAAGCCGCTCAGAGTGGTATAGATCTACCAGATGAGCGGGATATAAATCAAATAAATAAATAAATAAAGAAAGAAAGAAAGAATGTTGGTGAGTTTTTTTACTCTCTCTCCTCGGGGTGGTTTTGAATTCCAGTTTGTTAGTTCTGTGAAGACTACAAGCCATGTGTCTGTTGAAATGAATTACAGTCCACCAAAGCTTACACTAAATAAAAAAGGTGTTAGCCTTTCGGGTGCCACCAGAGTCTTCATTGCTTTTGCTATTTTGAAAAACATTAAAATGCATTTACTGTTCGGCCAATTCGAGTTTAAAGCATTTATTGGCCCTAGAAAATCAGAGAGAGAGATTTTGGTCTAATTGAGATGTTTGATTGACAGGAGAGAAGGAGAAATATCAATTCTAGCACACCTTGAGAACTTGCAAAGAGTTTCAGAGTTTTTTGCACTGTCTGCTTTAATTTATGAGCAGCTCCCCAAGGACACAGGCGGAAATATAAAAAAGCTATTTTTCATCATCTGCTAAATTCTAACTCGAGAGGGACAAGGGTCAAACCCAGCATCTTCTTTCTACGACACAAGTCCTCCTTTGGAAGTTAGCCATGGGCCTGACTCACATCTTTCCATAGAAATACAGAATAGCGGCGATTTGTTCAGCCTGCAGCTGAACATAAAATGTGCTAGTGAAAGAATCTGCAGTTGAAAAAGTGGTAGATGTGGAATTAGGAAAAAGGAAGGACAATTAGACACATGTTATGCATCGGAAAGAAGGCATTATGGAAATACACCAGCAACATGAGTGTGCAGAAACTTTGCAGAAGCCGTAAAAGGATTATTGTGAATCCAGCGAAAAACAAAAAGCCTAGTGCTCGAGAGGTAGCAGCACAGATTTGATGAGGCAGCTTGAGGAGATAAATAACTTTGTTACGGCTGTATGGCAGGCTAATAAAAAAAATCATTACTGCATAGTAGAGAAAAACTACAAATTCTCTGGAAAAAACTGCCACAGATATGAGGGTGCATGCGAGGAGCAAAAACAGGCTGTGGGTTCATGCAGGTACACGGGTCTAAACGTTCCTTTCTGCAGTCGGAAGGTTTGATTTTAAAACCGCAGCAAAATAGGCAAAGAAATGAAAGAGAGGTCATGTCCCTTTTGAAGTGACCCATAAACCATGTCGTGGCAGCAATCCTGCCTCTCCCTCACAGATGGGCAAAAGTGTCTTGCGCTCCCGGCACCCAATCCCGCAATTTGTTTTCAAGTTGTTTTAAAGTTTGTTTAAAAATAAAAAGAAGAAGTCTGGAACCGGCCTGGTCACCCACCTGCATCACGAGTGACCTGCGATATTCCTCAAAACTGGAGTTGTCGTTTTTTGCTCTTTTAAGTCAGACAGACCGTGGCTTCTTCCTGCGGAGCTTAGGATGGCCGGCTACCACTTTTATCCTCCCCACAGTCCTGTGAGGCGGATCAGGCCGAGGTTGTGCCCTGAATTCCACAGCCCAGGCAGGATTTGAACCCAGGTTTCCTGAGTCCTAGGACAAGACTCAGAGCCACTGCATTATATATAGAGATCGTTCACATGGGTATAATTAATCCATGGGGGTAGAGTAGAGGAGTTGAAAATGGAACAAGGCTGGGTGTTTCCCCCCCATTTTGCAGCAAGTTGCTGTTGTTGTTGTTGTTGTTGTTGTTGTTGTTGTTGATGATGATGATGATGATGATGATGATGATGATGATAATGATAATAATAATAATAATAATAATAATTCCCCCAGATTCAGAGGCTCAAAGTTTACAGCCCGCCGGCAAGTTAGTAATAATAATAATAATAAAATGTGCTCTCACCTCAATTTTTACTTTGGGTGACTCCAGGGTTTTCTAGGTAGAGAATACTCAGAAGCGCTTTACTGATAATAATAATAATTTGTGAATGAAACACACTTCAGTGGTCCCCTTAGTCATTGGGGCCCTGGAAACCATATTGAGAAATGTCACCCAATATTACAAGCTGTTGCAGGTCCCAGATATCACACCCTCCGAGTGAAAAACAAAACAAAACAAAACAAACCCCAGCAATATTAGGAATACAGATATTTAACAGATACTTTTACAGTTTTGGTTAAAACGTGTATCTGTTCTATAATAGCAGTCCATATTTTTAATAATTTGGATTGACTGTGCCTGTTTGTTTGGTTTTTTTTTAAAAAAAAATAAGAATAATACCAAAGGATATCTAAATAGGATTTGACGTTTGAGGCTCATCATCAAATAATTAAATTTAGGATTCCGTCTGAATTCCAAAAGACGGCATTTGAATTTCGTGCCTGAGTCAATAAACTTGTAAGGCCCATGGGTTCTTCCTATCTATCTGTCTGTCTGTCTGTCTGGCTGTCTGTCTGTCTGTCTGTCTGTCTATCTATCTATCTATCTATCTATCTATCTATCTATCTATCTATCTATCTATCTATTTATCTACAGTATCCATCCATTCATCTCTCTCTCTCTCCCTCCCTCCCTCCCTCCATCCATCCCTGTCTCTCTCAACTGTGTTCACCCAGCCTTTCCCCTTGAAAGGACCCCCCCCCAGGAGGCTGAGCGTGTTCCCCGAGAGGAGGGGAGGGGAAGGGGAGCCTTCGCTCACCTGGCTGCTGTTGGAGGGGAAAGCCGTGAGGAACGGGACGTCCATGATCTTCACTTCGTACATTTCCCCGTTGAAAACGACCGCGGGCCGGTAGGTGTAGCGGCTTTCCGTGGCTCTGTAGGTCTCGGCGAAGTCGTGGTACAAGAACTGGCGGATCATGGCCGTCTTGCCCACCTTGGGCGCGCCCAGGACGGCCACCGTCAGCGTCTCCACCACCATGGCCGGCCTTCAGCACCCTGGACAGCTCCAGCCCCCGCCCCCGCCGGGGAAAGGAACGGCGTTTCTTTCCCGGACTCCCGCGTGGCGTTACTGCTCGTTACTCCCATGCAAAACAGGTCCGCCCCGGCCCGTTGCTGCTTCGGGCTTCTTGCTCTTACACAAGGACCGGCGCCTGTTCCGCCGCCGGCGAAGGGGAAAGCGCCCTTCCCTTCCCTTCCCAGGCGCTTCCAGGGCCGAGCGGCTCCTCGTCCGGTCCAGAAGCAAAGCCCCCCACCACCACCCCCAAAAAAAGCAGAGAGAAGCTGCCCTCAACCCTTCCAGGGCGCCTCCGGTCTGAAGGGAGAAGGCAAAGCACAGGTGGGGAAGAGTGCGCCCAAGTCTGAAGGCGAAGGGGAATTTTAGCTCCGTGGTACCGATATCCTGTTTTTTTTCCACCAAGAACTCTTCTCCTCTCCTTCCTTCGCGCCTTGCAACAGCCCCGCGAGGTAGGCCAGTCGGAGACAGCAGCAATGGACCAGCCCGGCGGAGTGGCTTTGCTCCGTGGAAACCTCCCCAGGCGCAGTCCCTCCCTCGGAGTACTTCGGGGCCACGGCGGGGACCCCCGGGAGACTGGATCCGCGTCCAGCTTCTCTGAAGGGCAGAAGAGCGGGGAGGCTGTGCCGTCTCCCGTGTCCTCCTTGGCACGCCTGCACGCGCCTGCACGTGTAGACCCAGAGCCCTGGAAATAAAGTTCCCAAATTACTGGAAAGAAGTGGTGGTTGAGTGGTGGTGATGGTGGTGGGGGAGGCGAGAGGACCACCGGCCGCTTCCTAGCTGCTGCTTTTTCTGGCTTCCTTTAATCCCCGAGCATCGCTCCAAACCTCCGCTCACCTCTGGGGGAGAAAGTTCCCCCCGCGATCCTCTCCGGAAAGGCACCGGGGGGGGGCTCGTCCTGAGTCGGGCGTGGCTGCCCCCCAGCAGCCTCCGGTTCTCGCGGCCCGTTCCCTTTTTCCCCCCGTCCTCGCGTGCTGGATTCCGACGTTACCCGCGGCTCCCTCCTTCCTCGCCCCGTCCCGAGCGCGCCCCGGGGAAGGGCG